AAGTCCAGCCAGGAACACGACTCGGTGACAGACGAAGGGTTTGAGCCCTGTGCCCCATCCCTGCCCCCCCGTGTCCCCATGGAGGGGTTACCCGTGTGGTTTGGGGATGTGGGACCCTCTTTGGGGGCAAGTTGGGGTTCAAGGTGGGTCTCACAGGTGGGAGAGGAGGGGACGGTGTGGGCCACGCTGGAGCACCCCAAAAGCTCCCTCCTCCCTCCCGGCCTTGGTGCCGTGCCAGCTCCCTGGAGGTGTCACCCCAATCTGCTCCCCCCCACAGGACCCCCCTCTGCCCAGCGTCACCCTCCGTCTCCGGTGAGCGATGGAGGGAGACCCCACCCTGCAGCTCCGCATCTTCGACCTCAACTGCTGGTGAGTCCAGAGTTCACCGGGGCCATGGGGACAGGGACACCTGCACCAGGAGAGGGGTCCCACCTTGGTGTCACCTTTGTGTCCCCTTCCTTTTGGGGTCACTCTTCCAGCCCCAGAGAGTCACAAGGTGCTTGGCTGGGTGGTGCCCCCCTGCCCCTCTGTGTCTCCTCCCCCAGAAAATGACACCCCTCCACTTGCACCCCAACCAGGGATGAGCGGCCTCGATTCTGCTGGTGGCAACAACTGTCCCCAAACAACCTCCCTGCACCTCCCTCTTGTCCCCATGTCCCCCCATGGCCCTTTTCCCCCTCCTCTCCCATCTCCCCCAGTCTGCATCCTGCCTGTACCAGAGCCCTCTCTGCCCCATTTCAGGTCCCAGTGTGCCCCAACAGCCCCCATCGCCCTGTGTCCCCCCCCCCAGGCTGTGACATCCTACCCCTCTCTGGCAGGGCCATCCGCTACCTGAGCAAGCGGCGGCAGGAGCGTGTCCGGCTCATCGGGGACATGCTGCGCCGGGAGGAATTCGACCTGGTGCTTCTCCAGGAGGTGAGGGTGGCCCGTGAGATGAGTGTGTCCGTTCTCAGCCCATGAGATGAGCGTGTCCATTCTCAGCCCATGAGATGAGCGTGTCCATTCTCAGCCCATGAGATGAGCTTGTCCATTCTCAACCTGTGAGATGAGCGTGTCCGTTCTCAGCCCAAGATGAACATGTATGTTCTTAACCCATGAGCTGAGCGTGTCCATTCTCAGCCTGTGAGATGAGCGTGTCCATTCTCAACCCATGAGCTGAGCGTGTCCGTTCTCAGCCCGTGAGATGAACTTGTCCATTCTCAACCCATGAGATGAGTTTGTCCGTTCTCAGCCTGTGAGATGAGTGTTTCCATTCTCAACCCATGAGCTGAGCGTGTCCATTCTCAACCCATGAGCTGAGCGTTTCCATTCTCAACCCATGAGATGAGCGTGTCCATTCTCAGCACATGAGATGAGTGTGTCCATTCTCAGCCTGTCCCACTGTTCTCCAGGTGTGGAGCGAGCAGGACTACGGTGACCTGAAGGTGAAGCTGGGACGCTGCTACCCCTTCTCCCATTACTTCCGCAGGTGAGAGGGGCCAGGCCAGCCCCCCACCGCACCGGGGCTGTCCACGGGGTGGTGACAGGGCTGTGCCACTCCCATGGTGTTTGCCATGTGGAGAGACTGGTGTGGGTGCTGCTGGTCACCTCTGTCACCATGGGAGACCCCATGCCTGGAGAGTGGGATGCTCACAGGAGCACACTGGGATCCAGGCACCTGGGGACCCCCCCTTGGCTCGGGGCTGGGGGGAGGCAGAGGTTGGGGGGGCCACACTCGCTCACCGTGTTTTCCCCTCCCACAGTGGGGTGATCGGCAGCGGCCTCTGCGTCTTCTCCAGGTTCCCCATCCTGGACACCCTTCTCTACCAGTACTCGCTGAATGGGTACCCCTACATGTTTTCACCACGGATCCTTACCCACCCCAACCCACTCCCCTTCCCCCCCTCAACAGCTCCAGCACGGGGACTGGTTCTGTGGTAAATCCGTCGGCCTCGTTGTCATTAAGATCTCTGGGATCATCTTCAACGTCTACGTC